TGCTGACTGCTGCAACGCTACAGCGCCACACCGCAAAAATTCACTTTAAAATGAAGCTTTTTTTTTCTTGAACTAGTGAAAAATCGAAATATCTTTTCTTAGCAAAACACACTAGCAATCGCTATAGGATCGATGAACTAAGTAAATGACTAATATAGCTTTCATTTTACGTACGTGGCTCAATCACTTGGTGTAGTGCCAAACAGCTATACTTTCAGGGTCAAGTCAGTGGTTCAGTATTCCCAACGAAAAAATCCTTTTTTGATTTGTCTTTTTGTATGGATCGCAAATTGGCATTAACATATACCAGAGAGCCTTCGATGCTTTCTATGAACCGGCGAGGACCCTTCCAGTGGGAAATCGCTGATAACAACAGATATGTCAACACTCGGGTTATTTCCAAGTACTTCCGCTTCAGAAAGTGACTGAAATATAGAGTATCTGATTTTAGATACATAATACATGCCTGTCGTGAGAAAATATATTATTTGCTCATGTATAAATCAAACTAAATCAAACATATTTGTTGAAAGTAAAAAAATCTGCTTCACACGAAAAAACATAGTTAAGTGAAAAACAAATGCTCAAGAAGCAAATTTGTTTTAAACATTAATTTTTAGGTCGAGTTAAAATAAAAATGGAATATATTGGGAACAAGTTGCGAAGGTACACGACATTCAGCAAGCGGAAAACAGGAATTATGAAAAAAGTTCGTCTTTCGTTTTCACTCCATATAACAGCTACAAGCCTTTTTCTTAAGACTGCTGGCCCGATTTCCTGGCAGCAATAACTGTTTGATGGACGAATGTTTTGCAAACATCACTCTCAAAGTGTTTATATGCTTTCATCATGAAGATGAGTAGTAATCGGTGGGATTCTGACTGATCTGCATATTATTTATTAAATGGTAAGCTTTCAGGCCTATGAACTGTCAACGCTCACCGGAACTCAGGTGATGCTTCTGGTGGCTTCGGAGACCGGGCATGTTTATACATTTGCCACCAAGAAGTTGCGACCAATGATCTCATCGGAAGCTGGCAAAACGCTTATCAGGAATTGTCTCAATACTCCGGATATTGGTAAGTGAATTTAGTATGACGTGCAGTCAGTGCCCAGCTGATATTAGTAATAATAGACGAAACAGTCAGTCGGGGATCCGAAATTATAGCACGCTGTAACGGTTCTTTTTTTCGATATGGTATGATTGTAGAAGGAGCCTGCAGAGCTGGGAAACACTAAATGTAGAGCGCCGCCGTAGTATTCATCGCATTTGCAGATGACGAGGTGGACCCGGTGGGAGCGAGACAGGAATTCACATTTGAATCGCAGTCGAACAGCAATAATATTTCGAGGAAGCGAAAACTGAATGAGGTTTGTCGCAGTTCCCTTCTTTTTCGAAAATGCGCCAGGCGCATGTAGCCAATGTCGAATTTCAGCGTGCTTTTAATCGCACTTCACATCTCCTTTTGTTTCTTCTCTGTTCACTGCTGCTACAACTAACTTGCCCAAAATGTGTGATAAATGCAGCCTGTAAGGTGTACCTGTCCTGGCGAGGGTTTTTGCACAGTAACTCTAAAGCAACTGGGTAATAGTGTTCTGGTAATTTGAGCCGAATCAGCTGCGAACTAAGTGAGCGCAGGCACCTGGATTATTGTGGATTAAATCCTGGGAACATGACCATAGTGGGACTACGGTATAGCTGGTTGGAATTAGCCTGCCCATGCCTCGTCACCAATCAACTGGCCGGCTGGGGAGTGACATGTCATCGCCTCTCCATGTCTACCCATGCTCCCCTTCATTCCATGCCCTTCATTCTTCAATCGCTCCGCCATTTTAATGAATCGCTACTGTGGCTGACGCACCT